GCGGGGGCAGGTCTCCCGGCGCGGCCGTGGGCTCGGGCTCCGGTTCCGAGTCGGTCTCCGCTGCCTCCCCGGCCACACGGAGCCCCGTGGGGCGGCCGCGCGTCGGGCCCGAGGGACCCAGGTAGAGCTCCTCCTCCTCCGACGAGGACGCAGACAGTTCCGAGTCGGTCTCCGCCGCTTCCCCCGGCACCACCGTCCCCGGTCTCCGCCGCCGACCCTGGGACGACGCCATGGCGCGCAGCTTGGAGAAGAGGAGCGCGGGGACGTGAGGTCCGGAGCACCAGCCCCGCCCACCCCCAGGCAATTCCGGCTCGGCCTCGGTGTCCCCTGGTGTGCGCACGGGTGGGAATTCTGCCTCTCGGTATCATTCGTGCGCACATCGGGGACACCGAGGACCGGCCAAGCAAAGCTTTGGAACTAGGTCCTGCGAGGTGGCTTCAAGGGGAGGAAAAGCACTTGCAGCCAAGCCCGAGGCCGTGAGTTCGACACCCGCCCCCCCCCCCCCCCACACATGCACACGCACACACACATGCACACACACACACACGCACGCACAATGCACACACACGCACACATGCACACGCACGCGCACACACACGCACGCACAATGCACACACACACGCACGCACACATGCACACGCACACACACATGCACACACACACGCACGCACAATGCACACACACGCACGCACAATGCACACACACACACACGCACGCACACATGCACACACACACGCACGCACAGTAAATATAAAGTAACAATAACGCCTTTAATCCCAGCACTCGGGAGGCAGAGGCAGGCGGATCTCTGTGAGTTCGAGGCCAGCCTGGTCTCCCACAGTCCCAGGCCGTCCAGAACTGCACACTGAGTCCCTGTCTCAACATAATACCTGCCAAAGTAACTTAAAGAGCTCCGTAACCGGAGTGCCCGGAGTCCTCGGGCACAGCCCACGCCCTCCCCCGTCCCCCGGGGCAGCTCCCGGGCAGCGCAGGCGCCAGGGAGGCCGGACACAGAGAGGACGACCGCCCTAGGGGACACGAACGGGGGTCACCGACACCACAGTCCACACCCAGAGGGCCATACCGGGTCTCCGGAGCTCCGAACCCGAGCGATCCGACGCCTGGCGGAAGTGAGGCTGTGGCTCCGCGTAGGGTCACATGATCGAGGTCCGGCCAATGGGAAAGCGTTTGGACACGTCGCTTCCGTGTTCTTATTTTGTTGTCTGTTGCGTTATATATATATATTATATATGTTATATTTTGGATAATTCTGTAGGACACATGAATTGTTTATCTTTTATTTTTTTAAACTGGGACCGTCACTTGAATCAGAGACTCAGCCAATAGGAAGGTCCGAAGACCCGGAAAATAGCGAGGGAAGCGAAGTAAGGGCGGAAGACGCTGAGGTGCGCGGCCCACGGAGGGGCTCGGTGGCCCCGCCCCCGCGTTCCCCAGTTTCTGCGCTCCCCGCGCCGGCTGAGGGGGCGGGGCCGGAGCAGAGCACCAATCAGGACCGGTTCTGCCCCCTGAGCGGACCAATGGGAGCCGGAAGCGTCGTCCCGGGGCGCGGGGCGCGAGGAGGCGCATGGCGGACGCGGTGCTGTTCGAGTTTCTGCACACCGAGATGGTGGCGGAGCTGTGGGCCCCGGACCCAGGCCCTGGCTCGGGGGTGAGCGGCACGCCGTGGCCTCGGGGGTGACTTCTCGGTGGAGAAGTGGGGTGCGATCGAGCCTTCCTGGCCGGTCATTGCTGAGGTGCAGTGAGATGACCCGGAGCAAGGCGCTCGGTTCCGGGCCCGAGCCGTTGGTAATTAGGGTAATTGGCTGTCATTAGGCGCGGATGAGGACACGCCTCACCACTCTGTGGGCAGCTCAACATCTTAATCTCCCTGTCCTTCGGTTTCCTCAGAAAAAACGCACCCCGGCAGCACCCCGACTCTTGTGTGCCCGGTGTGAGCCGGGATAAAGTCTGTGCAGATCGCATTGCGTCCCAGCACACCGTGGGTCTTGTAGTAAGGCTTTGTTCCAATGGTTAGTAAAGACCCCACCCGGTGATGTGGAGGGTGTTGCTGGGATCACTGAAGTATTGTCACCCATAATAGTCCCTACCACTTACGTGTCCCTTTGTGCTGTCCTGGGTCTTCCACCCCATCCCGGGAGGTCAGCCTGACCCTCCGTCTGAGTCATGAACAGGCTGCTTGCACTGAGGTCCTTGCAGACAGATACTCTGCTCTGTATCACCTTGACTCTTAATAAAGGGTTCACAGATAGCTTTCCGTGAGTCTGCAGAGATGTGAACTTGCCGGCTCCTTCTTCTAGCAGCCCCTCCTGCCGTCCCTGTTTCCCTACTGGGGTCCCACAGCTGACATAATAGAGTTGGTGGGAGTGAGGCCTGAGCATCAGGGCTCAGGAACCTCCCTGACTTTAAACTACATGGCAGCTCTCATGGCTTCCTCTGGATCGTTCTTTGTGGGAGTTCAAGGCCTGGTGTAGAGACTGGACTGCCCTCTTTATTATTTTCTCTCTTTTCGTCCCCGATGCCCCCCACCCCCCTATCCCCTAAGCATGGAATTCTTGAGGCGGGTTTTCACTGTGTAGCCCAGGCTGGCTTCTGGTGACCTTCCTGCTTCTCTCTGCCTGGAAAGTGCTGGAATAGGTGTGCAGACTCCAAACTAAACTTCCTCACTCTCTATTCCTTCTCTGACTTGGAAAAAGCGCCTCTGGATCAGACTTGGGCCTTCTGTGTCTGATTTGTGTGCTGTGCTCCCAGTGTGGCACAGTCAGCCTCTGCATCCCGGGGTGCGGCACCTGGAGTCAGGGTCTCTCACCTATTCTAGTCTCTAACACGTGACCCTCCTGCCTACACATCCCAAGTGCTGGGGTTGGAAGCACAGATTCTTTTTAATTACATCTATAATGATTATTTACGAACTTTTTATTTCCTAAACAGTATGGTATAACTATATAGCAGTGACATTGTATTAGCATTATAATCATCTGGAAAGGATTTACAGTCTATAAGAAGGCTGGGTGTATAGCTCAATGGAAGAACTCCTGCCTAGAATCCCCCAGTGAGGGGCTGGGGTGTGGCTCAGTGGTAGAGCCCCTGCCTAGA